AAAAATATATGTGTGTGTATATATATATGACAATATGACATTGTCTGTTGTTAAGGTGAAAAGCATTTCAGCACTGTGACACAAATGACGTCTCTCACATATAAGACACCAGTGACAAAATAATATGGTGCAGGTGAAAGTAGTCACATGACCATTGTCGGCTTTGGTCAAAATCTATAGTGTTGATGCTAAGGACACCATTTTGGTAATACACCTCTGTACATATGTGCTGAGCTTGGCTTATTCCTTTGGACTTCTACTGTGTCTGTGGCCTGATGTCTGTCTTTCAGCAACACAAGACAATAGGCTGTACATTCACAGGAAACAGAAGACAGTCGAGACACAAAACTCCAAGAGGAGACATCCTTCCTTCCTCTGTGACATTTCTTCCAATTCCAGTGTGTGTGAGAGAAAGACAAAGCTAGTGTGTGTGTGTGTCTTTTAGCCTTTGCGTTTCCCTGCCACAGCACAGGCAGGCAGACAGACAGACAAACTGAATACAACTTGGCATGTGTTCATGTCTCAATGCAGACACAGCACAGGACGGGCATTGTTGTCTCATAGTTGCCCTCATTTTGTTCCCGTGCGGTGTCCTTCCTGGAGATAAAAACTGTCTCCTTCATTATTAATTCACTACAGCGGACATAATTTGACAGCTGGTGAACAACAAAACCTTTGAGGTTTCATTTTGTCCTTCATTCAAAAATGTACTTATTTTAAATAACTCAATCCAGTTAATTTACTCTGAAAATACACAAATAAATATATTATTTTTCTTTGTATAATCTCAATGTAGCTATATTTGTAGGCATGGATTGTGTGCAGATTAAATATACCGTAATTTCCGGACTATTTAGACAGAAAGACTTTATTTTACTTTTAATTAAATAAATGTTCTTTAGGGTAATTACACTTAAGCTCTTACCTTAGTTGGAATGCACGGGGGAGACTTAATTATCTGCTCAAGAGCTAAAGCTAACATTAGCCCCGGGGCTAATTCTCTTCACTTTGTGCTTGTCCGCAGCAGAGGTAAACAGAAACAGGGAAGTTGGGGACTGTATTGTCAGCCACACCGAGCACAACAGTACAAAAACAGTGTTTTACCTGTATAACTAACTCACGCTACACCATGACAGGGTTCAAACTGCTCTCAACTTTCGGCTACCGTTCTCTTTCGCGCGCGCCCCACGCACATACGCACACAGCCATTCACAGACAGACATACGCGATATACGCTAGCATAGCACAGTAGCCTAGCAGAAAAAAAATCGCTCGCTGTATGAACTACGTTAGCCCGTAAAAATCCATAAAATAGCCGCATCATTGTTTAAGCCGCAGAGTTGAAAGCGTGTGAAAACAGTAGCAGCTTAAATTATTAGAAAGTTTCACTGTGTTAAGAAAAAAATTATATACCAACTCGAATAATATAACAGTAATTATGTGTGATTACAAATAACTTTTTCCCCACCTGCTGGCAGTAAATGATTTGTTTTTGTATTATTGCCTGATGAATAAAAGACAGAACGTTCCCTAAAATGCAGGAGTTGGAGAACTGTTTGTCCAAGTCTGATTCATTAACTCGTAAAAAATACTGACAGCTGTTTATCCATTCTGTCTCACTGCCTTATGTCACCCAACAGACCGGTTTCAACTCGTTGCTTCAATCCAGATGTGATCAAATTTTGAACAAATCAATCCCAGCATAAAGAAAGATACCTCTTACCTTTTTATTAAACATTAAAAGTGCAAGTTTTTTTTTACACCTTTAGGTTTCAAAGACCGGTTTCAACTCACTGCTTCGATCCAGATGTGATCAAATTTTGAACAAATCAATCCCAGCATAAAGAAAGATACATCTTACTATTTTATTAAAAATTAAAAGTGCAAGGTTCTTTTTACACCTTTAGATTTCAAAGGCCGTGACAAGTTTTTTCAAAATTCTATAAGGGGCCTTAATTTTGAGGCTGAATATCTTCTTTTTTTTTAAATTCAGTGCTAAGTGTGAACTTCAAAATGTCACCTTGGTGTAGAATTTTTCCTCTTGGGCCAGATTGGATGGTTTTGTGGGCCGGATTCTGCCCACGGACCACCAGTTTGAGAAAATCATTTTCACAGATTGAGAACGAGTTGTCATCTAAGGATATTTAATTTAATATACTCTTTAAAATGCCCTGTTAAATCAGTAGTGCTCAAAGTGAGGGGCGGGCTCCCCTTTAGGGACGCCAGGGGTGTGCAGCTGGTAAAATTATTTAATTTTTTATATATTTTTTTAAATTGTACCACAGTAGGGAAAAACACTTATTAGCGGAATATCTGTTTTTGGAGTTACATCTAAAAAAGTTTTAAAGCAATAGCTTTACACGTGTCAATGGCGGGGTTCAACCGTCGTCATATTTACAAATGGTGCGGGGAAAAAAACATCGCGTTAAATCAAAGCCACAAGAGTCACGGTGTGGTTAACACGGTGTTCAAGGCCAATACTTTGCTCGAGTACTCCCTGCATTGTACTCGTATCGTAACAACCTTTGAATGTCAGCGGCTCCGCCCTGTTGCAAGACCTGCAGATGCAGACAGCCAGTCTTCACGCTGGCTGTGATTCTGGCACAGGTCGAGGTGACAATGACGTAATATGTTTTCTTGGCCTCTCGTGCACATCATAGGCGTGTGTTTATACCTGTTCGGGCCTGATCCCAGCACTGATTAATGGATAGGCCACAGTTTCTGTCGGTGGAACGTCTCTTAGAAGGAATGCTGTCAGAGTTTCGGCAACCTGCGGGATCTTTTCCACCTCCCGTCCTTGTCCTGCAGGAACAGACGCAGGCATTTGTGTTTCGTCTAACGCAACATATTTCCTCAACTGATTGTGCAATAGATAGACTCAGTGAAGTCAAGAATCTGGTTGGAAAAGGTCTGAGCAAGTCGTGACTAATCTTAAAAGGAAAGAGATGTTGGATGAAGGCGCTCCACCTCCGTCTCATTGTTTCCACTGGCCTGTCTATGCATGAATGAAGTTGTTAACATTTGGAGGTTAAGAGAAAAATGAAAAATAAAAAGGTTAAACGTGTCAGATTATTTCTTTGGCCAAGCCACCTCAAAACGGGCCATTAAAGACAACTGAGCTAAAACAGGACGACGTTGCACAAAGGCGGCGCGATTATGTGGCTCAACACAGCAGCAGATGGGGAATTCCTCCAGTTATATAACTTTGCAAACATTTTTTTTTTTCTTTCTCAGGACTCATGGGAACTGATGAAGGAACGTGGATCTGTGGATGTCTTCTCTGCTCCGTTGGCCTATTTCTGTATTTCTCCATGGGAGCGTGTGTCCACATCTATTCACAGGCTGGACCGTACGTAGCTTATTATTCCAATCATGTCATAAATATTTTCTTTGCCAGTACGGTCATGTATAGATGCACACATGTCACAGTATAGACCAGACGTGGACAAACTTTTTGACTCGCGGGCCACAAAAGTGTCATAAAATGCTTTTTATCACTTTCTATCATTTTTCCACGCCATCTATTGGGGGAATGTGAGTATTGCAGGGAAAAAGACAGAAGTGTATTGATAATATAAATACATTATATGATCTGTGTATTATTGATAATATAAATAAATTATATGATCTGTGAAAGTTTGGTGGGCCGGAATAAAAAGATGAATGGGCCTCATTATCTACATATATGATATACATATATCATATATATATATATATATATATATATATCATGTGGCCTACACTATAATACATAAATAATATAAACTGAGACTTTTATCAGTAATTATCAGTAATCCCACCATTTATGACTCTATTTATATTCCATTAGACAAAAATGTGATTTTTATTTAATTCTTTTTTGTTCGTTCCACCGCCAAGGACTATAGACTATAGCCGCTGAAAAAGGAATTTTCATCATAACAGGTGCTGTGTATGGTCAGGGTTTATGGCAGGTCTGGTAGTGAAGTGTATTTTAACTGCATCAGGTCACATGACCTCATACGACGAAAAGGCATCCGAGCTAATTAGAAAAAGGAAACTAATAAAAACAAATAGTTGCTGTTTCTGTTTAAAAGTTGCTATGCTTTGGGCCCTGTTTGAAAAAAAAAAAAAATCTTTTTTTTTCAAAAATAAATCAATAAAATAAAGGATTTGCTACTTTTGTATAAATACTCGTAGCGTTAGGCTCACAGTAGGTTGTTGCAGTTGGGCAACAGACCAGGAGATTCACCGTAGGTGGAGTTCTGAAAACAACAGTTGTTGGCGTTAAAATTCCTTGGATCAATGGTGGGATTCCTGCAGAAGGCACGGCTTGGTTGGAAAAGTGGCCTGAAGGCAGAAATGTCCTGCCTGTTCCTAGTCAAGTCATGAATCACCATTTACCGACATGAGGCCAGGGACCACACATAAAAACATCATTGTAATTTTTAATCTTATCGCAGTCTTTAAGGTCTGTATTTTAGTTCTGTTTTATTCAAATGTTGATTGTGTCGAGGACTTTGATTGGAGGTTCACGAATGACCAGAGAACTGGGGCTCTAGTTGCGGGCTGGATTCGGCCCGCAGGCCACCTGTTGATTCTCACTGCCATGAGATATATATTTTCACATTTAACAGCTTTAAGGTGATTTCTGAAATGTATCATCTATATCATAAACTGTACATGACTATCTAACCCAGGGGTGTCAAACATGCAGCCCATGGGCCAAAACCGGCCCACTTGGGGTTTCAATCTGGCCCACTTTATTAAGTTTGAAAATAATAAAAAAAATACACAATCACCTCATATTCAGGAAATGTTTTATAAAATTATATTTCATTAAATATGAAGATTTATCTTATGTACTTTTTGCATGAAAACAAATGGAAAAAGATGGGCTGTTTGTAATATGTATATGTATAGTGTAAATCAAACACACACACAGAGACAGTATTGAAGGTTGCCATAATATTTTGATAAATTACAAAAAAAAAAGTTTTTTTTCACTTTCCATGTACCTGTTTTTTTTTTTTTTTTACATTGACCTTTTAACATTCCGTCAACCTTAGCATGAAAAACAGATACGATTTAAATAAATCCTGCATTGGCTTATTACAACGAACCTTTGTGATTTAAGTTACCAATTGAAGAAGCTCTTTTAAAACAAGAATAAAAAAACGAAAACTTTGGCTATTGAAAAAGAAAAAAGATCGAAAATGTCGCTTTTTTTTTTTTTGGACACTTTCAAAATCAGTTCGACAACGACTGTACAACGTCCGCAACTGGTACAACGACTACTTTAGCAAAAGCCAGTAGCGGTGTTCATTATGCTACAAGATAATTCTTTAAGTGTTTTATACAAACATAAACATAAAAAATATGATGCCATTCAGGTAACAGCTTAACACTTTCTCGAAGTTCGAGGGAGCAAATCGATGTAAGTGCGCCAGACTTCTTTTCTGCGACGTAGTTTAAAACAAAACTACATTTTGGCGTTTGAACACGTGTGGTATTTATAATGAAAATGTAAGATCTTTATACAAAATATTCCCCCAAAAAAGAAGTAATTGCACAGTGTAAAAAAAAAAAAATATATATATATATATATAAATATTCCAAAGGTTGCCACAATGTGCTGGTGAATTTTGTGTGTACGGGAAAAAAAAAAATCAGTTTCACATGTACATTTAAGTGCGTCTTTTTTTTTTCAGCACGTGTGCAAATCGTCCATGTCGTGTTATTCTGGCAACGTACGAGACACACTTCGCATTTCAACGCCGTTCACACAAAATGGGCTTCTCGGTTTTCCACCTCCAGGAGTCGCCTGGACCGTAGTCTCTGGTAGACGGGTTTGGCCTTGATCTGGTCCAGGTCCTCCGGGCTGGAGCTCGGCGACAGAGACATGGGCTCCTGTGCGCCTTCGTGGTCTTCCTCGGCGGGCTCATCCACAGATACTTCTATCTCGATACCCAACTCCTCCGCTTCGTCGTCCTCTTCCTCTTCATCATCTTCCTCCTCCTCCTCGGCACTGTTAGTCGACGCGGAGTTGGGCAACGCTTTGGCTTTACTCCTCGAAGGTGGCTTGTAGAATGTTCCCGGAGGGGGCTGCAGCGTCCTGGGGGCCCTGAAGGCTGTGGAAACGGTGCCGTACTTGGTGACGTTGTCATCCCTCCTTAAAGTTCTGCTGGGTCGCACCGCAACAGTGTAAGGTCTGTTGGGGTAGATGGTTCTGATGGTGCCGCTCGAAGTTTCGTGAGACAGAGCCGACGGCACTGACGTCGATAAGATCGCCGCGTCCCCGGCTGTGCCGTCCGCGGGTGACGTCGCCAACGATTTCGCAGTCCTGGAGGCAACGCTGAGTTTGTACTGTTTGTCCCAAGTCCTGCGTAACGTCTGCGTGTCGATGAACGTTCTCCGATTATGGGAAGCCGCGCGCACTTTTGCGCTTTCACCTTCGTCCACTTCCTCGATGGACTCGGTAAAAGCGCCCCCTTTCTGGAGCCCTTGGTGAGTGATGTTGCGGTTGTTGTTCTCTTCGACCTTGCCGATGCCGAGTATCCGCTCGGCCGGCAGGCTCACTGGCCGGGAGGAGAGTTTGTTGCGATGGTGACGAAGCTGGACCTTGGCGACGGTGATGTGCTGCGATCGACACAGCCCTCTCTCCGCGGTCACGGGGCCATCTGGGACACTCGATGACAGGATCCCATTCATCAACTCTGAACCCATTTCATCAACTGGAAAAAAAATGAGGATCCCATTCATCAACTCTGAACCCACTTCATCAACTGCAAAAAAAAAATTAAAAAAAGAAGATAAGATTTGACCATAAAATCGTCTGGTTATTATTAAATCCTACGTAGAATACAAGGGATTCCTGCGTTAAAACAACAATCGGAACTCGTTGCGGAGCGAGCGGAATGGATGATTACATCGTCACTCGGTCGGTGATGTACGCGGAGGACATCTTTGTTTTCAATGGCTGGTTATATACATACATCGGATTGCGCTAGATTTACTTATTTTGATTTGCGTCGTTTGTTGGGCACTTTTTGCCCTTCATTACGGCTCCCAGGCGTAAGTCAGACTTTTCTGATGTTTTCACGTCCTAAATTATGATGTTACCACTGCATTAGCGTAGGTGAGCGACGTAGGTACAGTACGTATGTAAGTTCCGCTGCATCGTAACGGAACGAAACTCCGACATAAGGTTTGTAACAATACTGACCTGCTTCAAAATCACTTCCACGAAGAACTGGAGGAGTTTCCTCGACCTCCGCCAGTAAGTGGGAAGAAGGAATGACAGACGAGTGCCTCTTATACACCTTGGAGGTTTGCTGTAATGGGAGTGAGCAAATGAACAATCAAACTCTGCGTGATTTTTTTTTTTAATTTTCATTTTCTTTTTACTTCCATCGATTTTCTCCAAACCTCAAATCCTATTACCTCTTTGATGTCTCCCAGCGACTTGGAGTGCCTGCTCAGCAGCTGCTCCTTCTCCTGATAGGTGAACCGTGTCTCATGCCTGATGTGGATATCGCCCTCGGTGGGTGAGGTGCAGCTGAGGGGACTGAGCGGGGTGTCGAAGACCATCTCGTAGTGTCTGATCAGGAGTTCCACGATCAGAGCCTGGTAGGGATAATCCACCAGGGAAGAGAGAGAAACTTCGGCATCCGCGTGCCTCGGCTTGATCAGCGTGGGCCCAAATATAATCCCCAGGTTGCTGGCCGTCATTTTGTTCTCTTCGGACTTTTCTGTCACCCTGGAGAGAAGACGAGAAGAAGTCAGATTGTAACCGGGGCTGACCAGACATGGGAAACCTTAACATAAAAAAAAAAACCTACCGATGCAGATGTTCTATTAGGAATTGCAGCGTCTTGTAATGAGTTGGCGGCAGCTTCTTCAGCAGGTCCTTCATCTTGAGGAGGACCCGGTTCATCTCGATGCTGTTCTGGGCCGGGGGCACCGGGGTCGGGCTGAGTCGCAGCGCCTCCAGTTCCTCCACGATTACACTCTGGGTTTCCTTGGCCAAACCGATGAGTTCGTTGTAGAAGCGGAACTGGATGAGCGGCTCCGGGAGCTGCCGAGGGAAATCGAGACATGAGGAAGGATTACAACGTAGACTGGGAGTTTTTTTTTTTTTTTTACAATACAAAGTCGTGCGGTAGAAGCCTACCTGTCGCAGGTAGAGTTTGAGCACATTGCTGATGTCGTGGGGGTAAAGGTCGGACAGCTCCACCAGGTCCTTCCCGTTCTCAAACGCCTGACACAACTTTTCCACCCGGGACTTGGCGCCATTCACGCGGTAGATCCCCTTCAGGGCACAGGGACAAAATAGGACGATCAAGACATGACAAAATGAGACGAAGAAAAGTTCCTTGAAGTCACGTGACCGACGGTACCTTCATGCTCAGGGCTCTGTTCTGGGAGGGAAAGGAAAGAAGGGGAAGGGTTAACAACTAGGCGGGGGGTTTTTTTTTTTTTTTTTACAATACAAAGTCGTGCGGTAGAAGCCTACCTGTCGCAGGTAGAGTTTGAGCACATTGCTGATGTCGTGGGGGTAAAGGTCGGACAGCTCCACCAGGTCCTTCCCGTTCTCAAACGCCTGACACAGCTTCTCCACCCGGGACTTGGCGCCATTCACGCGGTAGATCCCCTTCAGGGCACAGGGACAAAATAGGACGATCAAGACATGACAAAATGAGACGAAGAAAAGTTCCTTGAAGTCACGTGACCGACGGTACCTTCATGCTCAGGGCTCTGTTCTCGATTTCCGACGTGCACTTTCGAATGATGAAGGGGACGCCGTCCTGGCTGTTTTTTGCCGCCTGCGTGAAGTCGATGCCGAAAAGATGAAGCCTCCCCTGCAGCTTCTTGTGACCGCACTGGATGGCCAACGTTTCCAAGCACTTCTTGTGGCAGGCCAGGGAACACTGAACACAAACAGAGAGCGATCTTAGAAACAACAGAAATGTGAAATAAAAGATGCCTCGAATGAGTATGAACAAATATGGGAATAGTACTTTTGGAACGTCCACAAATTCTTATCTAGTCTACATTTTGGTTCATGCAGTGTTTTTGTTATTCTCTCGTCAGGTCAAATGACCTAATATAGAAAGGAATCGCATCTAAAAACACACAGCAACGCGAAGCGCTCGAAGGTCCAGTTTCAGTTTTCTGAGACCAGTTTCTCGGACCTTAAACGCACCGTGGATGATAAATTCAAAAATTTCTGGCCCAACAAGAAACCAAAGTTACCTCCTCGCATTCAGCACCTTGGAACACCACCAGCCCGTCGCACTCTCGACACTTAGAGGGCGCCCTCAGCTTCCTCAGCCGGTGGGTCTGAGCAGCCCTGGACATCTGGGTGTTTCTAAAGGGCCCCGGAGAACTGGCCGTCTCTATGACGTCATTCAAGCCTGCGTAGAGAAGAAAGAAAGAGAGGCATTACATTTTTTAAAAAAAAATCAAATAATGAAGATTGAGGTTGATTTAAAAAGGGGACCTACAGTGATCAGATGGGGAGGTGGGCTCTCTCTCATCTAGGTCATCAGCGGAGGACATGGTACCAGTGGATGGCGTTCTGGGTAGTCTCCTCTTGAAGTCTCCTGAACAGTAAAACAGCACCAAAAAGTGAGTCCACATCTTCGTACTGCAGCTACCTCCGCGGACAACCGCGCCGTCTCGTGCTTTTATTCACATTTACACAGAACCTTTTGGGTATTTTAATACTAGCTGCCTATTGGTTGACAACCGGACCGACTGTCCTCAACCAATAGCGGTGCATCCCTCGGTGATTTACACGTCTATTGACTGATCAATGATTTTGCAATGGATCCTAGTTCGACACTGCAGTTGCCTTTGTAACGCGTCAATCAGGACGAGCATTCACACAGAGATTAAGACGTCGTTCACGCCCGGGGGGGGGAGGGAACACCCGTGGGCAGTACTGAATTTAACTTGTAACTTCCTCAAACCAAGAACAGTCTCCGAAAGGAAGGTGTTTTTAGAATTACAAAAGGTAATGCTAAACACTAAAATATTTAGACTTAAATGATACACAAAACTTCAGAAACCAACATCATGACAAGGAGTGAAAACCCAAATGTTGGTTCAACTTGGGGGGCAGGGTCCTCTTAAGGGGCATGGAGTTATTGCAGATGGGTAGGGGGAAGGTGGATCGCATGTATCGACCTCAAGGCAAGGGTGCCAAATGCAGCCCACGTAGCCGTTTTGTGTGGCCAGCCAGTGCCTAAAAAGCATTTAGTAAATTCCATGCAGCTTTCTTAACTTAAGGAATTAAAAGGGTTTTTTAAAAGTTTTTTTTATTATTACACAGCAATAAACAATATTTGTAGCTTGAATATAATAATAATCAATTGCAGAGACATGTATTCGTCTGTTATGGAGGAGCTACATCTATACCAGACTCTATTCTGTTTGTATCAAAGTCTGAATGACTTATTTTTGACTTAAATATTGCCAGATTATCGTCAAAAAAAGAAAGTAAATGGAACTTTTTTTTCAATGACCTCTGGACTGGTACTGGTCCGCGAACCGGGGGTTGAGGACCCCTGATCTATACAGTGTTCCGTTTAAAACCGGCCCTTCAACAGGAACTGTACTGCTGATGTGGCCCCCGGTGAAAATGAGTTTGACACCCCTGGCTGTCGAGTTTTGAAGCTACACGCTACCCAAACTTTTCACGTTCAGGTACCATCAGGAAACTTGAGAATGGAACCACTACAGAAGTTTGTGTTGCATAGTTCAGGCCATGTTTTTTTTTTTTCATTCTAATCTAATCTAATCTACTCAATTACAGTCGGATAACGTTCGACAAAGAAGAGAGAGGCTGGTGCTTCGAGAACACATGCCAACGAATGTTGGATGAACATCAAGTTCATACTGTAAAATATGCACACCCAACAGGTATTAGGGACATTGTTGAGTAATCGCTCTGGGGTTGACGACCGGTACAGCCCTCGTAACATGAGGAGGAAACAAGTTCTACCTTTCAGCATGCCAGCGTTTACGCGGACCGATTCGCGCATACGTTAAACTGATGGATACTTATCATTTCGGCGACTTGCAGGTGCATTGTGGGTTGATGATATAATCAAATATTGTATTGACATATTAAGACAAAGAGGCTTCAATGAGCTGAGTTGCAGAGGTTGTTCAAAACGCACGCGTAGTAATCGCTGCGGCCTACCTGGACTAGCTGTGGGAGAGTCCATGGATCGGGACTCGCTGCTTCCTCCGGCGCTTTCGGAATCGCTGCACATCCCTCCACTTTGGCTGGCTGTGGCCCAGGGGCGAAAAGAAGCTTGGACTCGACCTTGGAGGTCTGCGCTGCCGTTGCAGCGTCGCTCTGAACTCCTGCTGTGATGAGCATTGGTGGGACTGTCCACGTCGTCCACACCCAGGAAGTCGGAGGCCGCGGACACCTGCGACCCGTTGCTGTTGCAGCCGCTCAGCGCCCGCTTTGTGAACGGCAACCTGCGGACACAAAATGGTGGATCCATCATTACGATTGGGAAATGAAATGAAATTTTAATTTAGACTTCAATCTTTAGTGTTTCACACCGTTCCGTTTGAAAAATAACAGTTATTAGCAATCATTTGCTAATGTAGCTAATACTACATCTTTAATTTCATTTCCTGGATGATTTCGGTATTATGAGCTCAGGGTATTATGAGCAGTTCGTCAGATAGTAATGATGATTAATTGGCTCAGAGTTAACGACCGCGGTTGTAAACAATGCTAATGCATTGTTATTAAAATTGTCCCGTATCATCTGGTTCTATATCGTATATAGGTCAGTGCTCTAAATTTAACCCTTTGAAGTGTGTGTGTGTGTGTTTGTGTGTTTCATTTCCTCTCTTCCCCGCTGAACTCTTTTGATCAGAGGGATCAGAGGTGGGGGAGAAAACCGGGTGAGGACAAAGAAGTGTGTGTGTGTGAGAGACCACAAATCTGTGTCAACAAAACTCTTCAAAGGAGAAAACATACAATCAAAATATTCCACTAAGAGAACGGCACAAAAATATATATGTAACAACGTTTTTTTTGTTAATCTTTTGGTGATTAAAAAAAAGAAAAAAATTTTTCTGGGAAACTCATGACAGAGGGAGGTTCAGTAAAAACCGAGGCTAAGCCCACTCCCCACTCCCCGCCCCCCACAGGTCCTCTCTCCCGTGACTGCGGTCATTTCCGCAGGAAGCCCCCGACTAGCCCAATTGTTTTACCGTTTCCAAAACAAGGTCACTCCCACCTCTGCGCTGAGGTCCGCTGAGTTTACAACCGCTTTGTTTACAGTCGAGTGCCGTCTCTCCTGCCTCGGAAAAGAGGAGCGGCGGTTTAACATCCCAGAACTTTGCAATACAAATTAAACAAATGAGCTACAAGATGATGTCATAAAACCAGGCTGTTAGTGATTCCTCCTCAGGGAGGAGGGAGGGTGTTATCTAGCTGTGATAAAAATCTGACAACGTAAACAAACCCCACACCGTCAGACTCATCTCAAAGCGGATTCTCTGATCGGATCGGATTTGATTGACAGGAAGTGACCAACGCAGTTACAGCGGACGGTAACGGCGACAACCACATCTTTCCGGTGCCTCACCCTATGCCTTGTGAAACGGGTGAATCAAACGAGAGGGAGTCCAGAGAAGGCACGTCGGCGGGCAGACTGCGGACGAAGTCGATGTAGCGCTGGCCAGGCTCGTACAACTTGGCGTTTTCACACAGACTCTGGTGGTTGACGGGGAGAGAGACGACCTGCGCCTGTTGGAGCTGGAACCAATTGACCGTCACCTAGAGAAGCAAAAAGGAATTTTATTTATACATGCTTTATTATTGATTATTGATTTTTTTTTGTCACCACTTTGTCTCAACGTACTGCCTTGAGGGTGAGGTCACACTGAGAAACCATCTCGCGGAGCTGAGTGATGATCACGCTCTTGGTTTTGGCCAGTTCCACCCTTTTTACTCCAACATCGACCTGACACGCCTTGCAGTGCTCCCTGGCCTCTTCCGCCTGTCAAAAAAACCAAAAAACTTTCTTTTAATTCCGTGCAGTTTTACTTCCTAAGGAGTTTGATGAATGCTAATGCTAATTTAGCTTCAATCGCTGCTGTTTAAAAACTGAAAAAAGACACGACTTTCTATGGAATTCAAGCAAAAAAAAAAAAAAAAAACTAATTTGCCGTACCTTCTGCAGGGCCTCCTCCCCCAGTCTGCGCCTCTTTTCCAGCTGCTTCGCTGCCGCTGCTCCTCCTCCGCCTCCGATCTGCTCCTCCTCCAAACGGCTGGTCGAAACCTTGGCTTTCTCGTGCTCCTCTTGCCGCTGGACCTGCAGCAGCCGAGCCTTCCTCAGTGCACTGTCGGCTTCATTCTATTGATGCAACAACAACAATTACGCACAACACATTAAGGGCCGGGAAATAAATCAAGCGGGGACAGAACGGGACTGACTGTTTCCGATTGGCTTGGAGTAGCCTTTTAACAAAACTGACTGTTAGCATTAGTTGAGTCATCTTTACAGTATTGGTCTATGAGTAGTACCAATGTCACTCACCTACGCTAACACAGAGCTAACATCGTATCCAAGGACAAATAAAAACATCAGGAGTCTGACTTACGCCTGGGAGTCATACCGAAGGGCAAAAAGTTCCCGAAAATAACAACATAAACGAGTGAATGTACTGTACCATCCACTGTACGGCGTGCAATCAGCGAATGTAAACGAAGACGCCTTCCGCGTATAGCACCACCTAGCCGTATATACAACCTAATTCATAATTTTATACAAAACATTTTTTTTTTTAATATACAACCTAATTCATAATTTTATACTAAACTTTTTTTCTAATTTTACCCGTTAAACTGAGGGCGGCTAAAATCGCATATTATTATCGTGAAACTCAACCCACCATCTTCTTTTGCTCCCTCTGCCACTGATCCTTGACCTCTTTCCGCAGTTTGTCCAACTCATTCTTCCGGGCCAGGAGAGGCTGCACAACAGACGGAAAAACAGACAGTAAGTTCCAATTCAAATTTAAAACAACATTCATAAATAAAGACGAAGTGTTCTCTCTGGAGTACCTGCATAAATTTGTAGCTCTGGAGTATGTTTGCAGTTTGTAGTACCAACTGGCTGTACTCAGTGTCGTTCCTGAAAGCAGTCATGTAGATCTCTCGGAAAGGCATGAATTCCTTTATAATAAAAAGAGGGAAAAAAAAGTTGTCGTACCGATTCTGAAATGGCAGTAAATTTGAATCGAGCTAACGTGCACTCACCTGCTGACTCGCGAGCGTCTTGGCGGACTCGGCCATTTTGGCGTAGCTCTTTGCACATTCGATATCTAAACACAAGTCCGACCACATTTTATTGACACGGTGGCTTCACATCATCTTCATAATTACAGCCTTTTACCTTTAAATTGCAATTTAGCCGTGAGCAAATATTTACACCGCGTCGAAGTGTTGAAACGTTCCAAAATACACACAACCGACCAAAAAGGGCTTGACGTGTGACTTCTTACGGTATCAACCTCCCAGCGATCAAAGAGCTCGACAAAGTGTGTCGAGAAATGGAGTGGACAGGTAAACAACAGCTGTTTGCCCGATGATAAATGCCCTGCACAGCCAAACTCAAGGCTCTGTGTGTGTCACCGAGTGACTAAGTATAATTACACAGTGTACTGAACAAAAGCTCTCACAGTGCACATTCAACCTCGAGTGCGGATAAGACGTCAGTTGTTTCAAGTTGATTTTAGGTTACTGATAAAAAACAAAAAACAAACAAAAAAAACCCACAAAAAAAACTTCAAGTTGATTTTAGGTTACTGATAAAACACAAAAAACAAACAAAAAACCCACAAAAAAAACTCAATTTTTCTTCAGCGATATACAAGACAGTTTAAAAACTGTGTAAAATACTTTGTAAAGTACAAAAAAAAGAAAAATACAATTAATGGAATTTTATCTATTTAAAAGAAAAAAATAATTGATTCCACTGTTTCCCAAAGACTGGGTCGCGACCCTCAGGTGGGTCACAACATTTTTTTTTTGGGGTCGTCTCGCATCATGTTTCCCAGGAGTTTACAAATAACGTCTATCGACTCAGAAAAAAAATGCAATGCACAAATTCTGCCACAGGAGGCGCCATTAAGCGCCGCGCTGCGTCCACCTCGGCGCCGACTTACCCATATTGAGACGCTTTTCCACCCATGCCAGCAGCTCTTTGGTGTACTTGGACCAGGCCTTGGCGTAAAGCAGCGCAGACTCCACGCCGTTGTCCTGCCGCTGCAAAGTGCTGTCCACCTCTTCAACCCGAAGTGGCGGAGAAGGCCCTATGAAAAACACGGCAGATTAAATATCGTTACCATCGGTTGACTGACTGTAGTACCAGCGGTTAGCATTGCTACAATAACAGACAATAACTGATAAACGTGTAAATCAGTAGGGGTGTCCGATAATATCGGCCGACTGATATTAGTAAATGTAAGAATCGTTATCGGTTTTCCCTCTAATAACGAAAACCCGATAACGCAATGCCTGGTTTTGCTTTTTGCTTATGCTGGAATTGCGTTTCGGGCCCTAAGCGTTTACCTGAATGTGGGGGGAAAAATGGCTGCATATATCGGTATCGGTTGATATCGGAATCGGAAATTAAGTGTTTGAACAGTATCGGCTACCGAATATTAGCAAAAAGCTAACATCTGAGATCCCTATAAATCAGCGTATATAATGTGGTAGCTCCGTATGGGTTTCTTCTTGTAACACAGACAAGGCCATAAACCAGAATGACGAAGCAGAACCACAAGACAAGATTTTTTTCCCCCCCTCCTCCTAACAAATTAGAGGGATAAGTTCCCCTCACAGAACTCTTTGCACAGAGCAGCGCCAGAGTACAGTAGCTGTGTGTCACACTGATCCGTCTTACCCGGCGGATCATCTTTCTCAGGACCAGATCCTTCAGATTCCACCGAGAGGTTCTCGAACGACTGTCGAAGTGAACAGATAAAAAAAAAAAAGAATAAGAATAAGAATAAAAATTCAAATACAAATCGAAAAGAAAGGAACTGATTCAGAATGCAGCACATCCTGGACACGTTCTTAAAATGTGCCTTATCAGAACGCCGACTTCCTCCACCGGCCCGCGTACAAAACCAGGCACAGGAAAAAGGAAAACAACAAGACCTCGAAATAAATCATTGTTTACAAAAATCGGCAGTAGCACTGCAGGAACGAACTGGAAAACCTTGTGTTTTTTTTTTTTTTTTTTTTAATTTTACACTACACAAAGGCAGGTCACCTTAACCTTGAACTCCTTGAGGTTATCACAAAGGCACAATTTTTAGAACATTTTAGAGCCAAAAAGAGTAGGATATCGCACGGAATGAAATGTAAAATATTCTGCTTTTCTTACCCTGCTTCTTTTAGTCAGGGACAGCCCCAACAATGATCCATTCTCTACATCTCCCATAAGGAAGTCAGAAACTCTGTAGAGGGAAAAAAAAAAGAAAAAAAGAAATACCAGCCAACAGGCTCAGTTAAGACAGGCTGGGAGTTATGAATTGGATTAAACATGGATGGATGGGTGTACTTTATTGATCCCAGGCTAGGAAATTAATAATAATAATAATAGATAATAAACAATAAAGAGTAATAATAAAGATAATAAATAATAAAGTACATTATTATCTTTATTTTTAGCATGGGTTTACAACATGAAAAGTCAAACGTTTAAAAACATTTTTTTTTTACATATCTAAATACTATTATGATGACATCACCACTTTTTTTTTTTTTTTTACTTATCTAAATACTAACATGATGACATCATCGGGATTACTGTCATAAAAATGTATAACTGCCGTTCTCCTCGTTCTTCTATTTACCAGTAATTGGAATCATCACCGACTGCGGTTTTATGACTCTTCTATCAGCTCGGGCTGTGATTATGATTTCTGAAGTCACTGATGTGGCAGTAAAAGCCTGTCAATCAGGGTCGCACTTCAACACCGAGAACCAAAGCCTTGAAGTCACGGCACTGAACTGGTACTCACACATTGCCAAAGGTGAATGCCAATGTGTCGATGGCACCGTAGATGTCCCGGAAAAGCTCCTGTTTGTTCTCGTCGTTTACTTCCTTGAAATTCACCTCTGTGGAGTAGCCAGAGAGAGAGAGAGAGAGAGAGAGAAAACAAAGAGGAGCAAAGATTTAGGGGCAAGCATAAACCCCGCGCACTAAACACATCCTGCGATTGAGGCGCCGATCCAGCGGCGTGATTCATCATCCTGCGCATGACGTCAAGTGCGGAGTCAAAGAAAGACTGAGTCTGAGTCATGGTTTCTTCCCTAAATCACGCCGGAGAGCGAAAAGAGTTTGTTCCTATCTGAAAAGCGCAGGCACTCGCCAGGTTCCAAAAACAACTGTATACATTGAATCAGCGTAGATAAGCAGAAGGGGCCGCCATGGGGGGGGGAGGAGGGTATGTATTTGGCTGTAATCTGGAAAAGCAGTGGTTTCCTGTTGTAGGTCTCAACACGGTGATGACAGAGTGGAAGAAACGCCGCTGTAAGTACAGCTCTAATCAGCCTTTACCGTAAACTTCCTGACGTTACGGAGCTCCCTTGGCAATAACGGGAGGCGGTCGTCAACTTGTCCTTTGAACAAGCTACCTTGACATAAATCAAAAGCCTATCACCAGTGATGTCACATAAGAGTGAAGATAACACACACGTACCAGCAGTAAAGGAATATTGATCGGCTTGTTTAGTAGCTATATGACATTGATAAAAAAAAATCAAAACAAAAACAAACGTTGCATTTAAACATTTGAAATACTCACCCAAAAGCACGCTTCTCGATCCTTTTAATGGTTCGGAATCACGTACACTTCAGACTAACCAAGTCATTCACTTCCTGTCCGAACTAAATCTCCCCCAAAAAGGGTTAGTCCTTTTCAGAGATAATAATTAAAACCCATCCCAGAAATCGGTCCTGCTTTCGAACAAAGACGTCTTTAACCACAGCACGCAGGAAACGGTTGGAAAAATAAAAAAATAAAAAAATGTTGTTTTAAAAAAGTCAAAGCTCAATCCAATGCACGACGTTCTCCGCAGCCTTGAACGGCTACTGTATCCACCACAACTGTCTTGTGCCTCCGTATCTACACTCCCGTCCAGTCCAGTCCAGGCCCTAGGCCCCCCCCCCCCCCCCCAACAGGACATCCTGAAACTTGCTGGAACACAATGCCAGTACTTGGTCAGGCCCCAAGCAGCAGTCCAAACATGGAAGTTACATCACTGGAAAGAAATGGTATTGTTTCAAAGAAACTGGTCAGCTGCGACGCTCGCTGCAGAGTCCAGGTCGACGAGGAACTTCTGTTCTTTTACCGAGGAGGTACGAAGACACGTAAATGGACATGAAGCCTCGCCCGATAGAGAAACGTTGTACATACCATTATTGGGACTCGGTGTCCCAATAATGGTAATATAACACAAACCATGTCGTTTCGTTTTTTTGTTAAAAAAAAAAAACCTGCATAAAATATAACAAAGTAAAAACAATAAAAACAATTTGAGCAGTGCGAGGTTAAAAAAAAAAAAAACTGCATAAAATATAACAAAGTAAAATAAATAAAAAAAATTTGAGCAGTGCGAGGTCCCAAAACTTCAGATAAGTATTGTACAAAAAAGAAAATTGTCACTTGCTCAAAATGAGCAATTCTGGCCCCCTTGTGGCAGAAAAGCAATACTGCACGCTTTCCTGCACAGTATTAAAATATTTATGTCAATTTTACTATAAAATATTACTATAATATTTGTATAAAAAATGAACTTTTACTGTATACTGTTCTTTAGAAAGTCAAAAACAGATTCACTTAATGCTTGATGTCACTTTCCTAAGCTGCGCAGACCCCCTCGGTGGCCCCTCCCTCCAATTCAAATAGAGACAAAGTGTACTCCAGGGATTTTTTTTCGTGAGCTTGCCAAGTTAAGAATTGACCCGTCTGTCAGATCATAATCTCCAACAATAAGAGGGTGAGGAAAACTCCTCCGTGTCCTCCCATCTGGATTGGCTGAAAAACCGCAGAAAGACAGTGTCTCCCCGCTGCCAAAACCCACTCTGTGTACTCGGTTTAAATGGCATCATAATGTAAGCTGGACACTTGAGTGAAGCCTTAAGAGCCGCAGTACTCTTGTGAAAACAGCGATGTGGGAATAATAGTAAAACCTTCAAGACTGAAAGGGGGGGGGGAGAAGGGGAGGGGAGTGCAGAAGCAGAAACAGAAAGCAGACCAAAGAAGGAACGGAGTTTGTAATGCGGGAAAGCAGTTCAGTTAGGAAGAGCTGGTCTTCCCTCCTCACCTTTGACCGAGGCAATGACTGTTCCAGCTGTACTGAGGATGTCCACCGAGTTCAGGCTCTGGTGTTTGTTGATGATGGCCTTCAGGACTCGCAGCAGCTTCCCGAGGCGCTCGTGGACCACATGGTGCAGGCAGTCCTGGTGCTCTGGAAAGTGACAGGAATTTTATAATGTCGTCTGAAGTACAGCAAGCCGGAGTGTGGCTGGATCGTCAAGTTAATGAATACATCCCCAGGGACAATGAAGCGGTGTTTTTCAACCTGGGGGTCGCGACCCCACATTTGGGTCGCCTAGAATTCAAGTGGTCGTCTGAAGTGTCTAGAAATGTATTTTAAAAAATAACAATATTTAATATTTATATATATAAATGTATTTATTTATATATATATATTTATTTATATTTTAAAAATATATAAATAAAAAAAAATCTGGGGTGGGACGGCTACTAAAATGTCGCCAGAAATTTGTGATGCCAAAATAAGGTCACAAGGTCGCTTTTTTTTTTCTTCTTTTTTTACAAACCAATACACGTTATAGGATTGCTGGATCAGCACATACTTCTGACACTGATGTAACCCTACATTTAAAAGAATGCAAGATAGCAATTTTACTACAATTACCCCCCCCAACCCATAAAACATAAGGAACTTTTCAACAAGAGTCAACAAAAACACAGAGATGAGTCCAGATCAGATCACATGTTGAAATTGTCCGATTCAATCGTGAAGGAACGACTCAGACAGTAGCTACTATGGCTATCATTAAGCCCATAATGACTGTCATACAGTATATGTAATTCAGCACTATTTCTCAGTGTGTGAACGTTACGTAAGCGAGGTCATCCCTTTACAGTCCGATGGCATGACTTCCGCTATAAAATGTCACCAATCGAGCTCAAAGATCTCATTGACAGCTACTACATCATCCATTAGCCTTGTTAACATATGACCCATAATACAACATATAGGTGTAGGTCTGTTATGACACATATGTAGTATGTAAAAAAAAAAAAGACTTTTCTAAAATGATGTCCCGATGACCTGATCACTCCACTCCTACAACGGGCTGTTTTTTTTGAAATCCCTGCTTGAAACGAATAGTGCAACCTCACAGGCAACAGGATTACTACAGGACATTCCAGCTTTGTTGGCTGAAAGGGTGACCATGGCAGCAATGTCAGAGCCCAGCCATCTATTCACAGCAGCTATAGTCAACACTGTAACCACTAATGGTAAGCTCAGGCAGGCCGGAGCATACTGCGGATTTAAAAAAAAAAAAAAGATATTATAATAGCAGTGTAGCGCATAAACAAAAACAACCCATCTCTTGTTTCCTGCAAATTGGGCGAGTCTAGCCGAACAAATACAACAGGGCAACAGCGAGTAATTAATCTTTGCAAGAGGACAAAATGCACCAGGTACTAATACTAATTTAATAATGTGCTTCTGGCAAGGTCAGAGTCGACGTCAGGAACGCAGCTCGGAAATGTGAATAATAATTATGTAATTAAGAACAGAACACATCAGACTAATTCATCCAGTTCCAGTTTCCACCGTGCGATTACACAAATGCAGGGCAGACATTTATGAGCATTTAGTTTGCAGTCAATGTCACACGTGTACGATCTAACAAAAAAAAATCTTTTCAGATCTCGTTTCCAGATTGCAGTAAAGGAACAACAAGCTCATCAGACGAGTATAAAAACAGGTTGTCAAGGCCTGTTTTTTTTTTTTTTTTTTTTTTGCTGACCATCACCCGTTGATAAGCCCTTTATAGACGAGGGGATCAGGAAGACTTTAGCTGACATTTTTTTTTTCTTTTACCAGTCAGCCCTCTTTTTTTTCGAGAGGGACAAACTGATAATTCTAGTTTTGTGTGTGGGTGCCATTATAATCCTAACCTGGAAATCAAGCCAATGACAGCAGGTGACGTGTTTCACAGACAAACGAGGCACAGACAGCAACGCTCCAACAAAACAGAAGGACGGAAATATGAAGAAAAACACATTTAAAAAGGTAATAGTGTACGCAGCCGTGTATTAGAACGTAACTGTCAAACTGAGCCGAGGGGGAACACACACTGGGCTCCTGGTATGTTGACATCAACAACGGTTGGCGTAGCACCAATGGAAATCTAGGTCAGGCGCAACAACGTGCATGTGAAAACCAAACACATTTTGTGAACAAAAAGTCACACCTTTGTGACCCATTTTTTAAAATGTTAAAAATACACACAAATAATCTACTTTCAAAATACTCTCCTGCCAAAATGCGCAACTGCTTGCCCAAGGTTACTCCACGGGGCCTATCTGGAGAGTCCTATGCATCGCTGTGAAACCCACTTTTCCAAAGTACCCAGAGGTAAAAAAAAAAAAAAAAAATCCCAAGGAACTACGAGTGTAAGCCAATTACAGACAGCAACTCAGTATACTTTTCTACACGCATAGTACGCAAGTATTTTAAATAGTTAAAAATGACTTGTCACACAGACAAGGGCCCCTTATTTCTCACTGTGGGACCCTAGCCCAGAGGTTTGATAAAGGTCAAAGTGGACAACCAGTAGCTTCACCCCTTAAGCCTTTAATTGGCCCTGGTCTGTTTGGATCCCATATACAGTATGGGCATTATGTGGCCCGTATCTTCCCCACATGGCCCATTGCTCTCCCAATTCACCGACTGAGCAACTGAGTCCTAAAGGCGTCAGGCCCGGGGGTTCAATAAAGACGAGCTTCAACCACGAAGGGCCACAAGACAGAGGGTCTTCACTCTTGGCGGTGGCCGTGCGGCCCATTGGTAAATTCTAAATGGGCGCTAATTAGCCAGACATTATTGTTGCGTCCACCCGCCCAGCGGGAGACAGGATAATGTACAGGGACTGATTATTTAACCCCCTCAACGGCCATTCAATAAAGGAGACAAAGGGAAAACAGAGTTCCCACAAGTCCAACCTGGTTGGAGAATCACCGATGATATTTCAGCTTCTGGTGAAGCTGTTGAAAAAAACAAGGACAAGGAAGTCACTGGGAAGGCACTTTTGTCATTCCATGGAGGGCCACACAGTTTTTGAAGAGTTGTTTGACTGGCCGGGAACTCACCGTTGTCCTTGGGGCCACTAGCAAACAGAGGGATGGTCGACTCAGGGGCCTGCCACATGAAGCATTTATGGAACAATAAATCACAGCGGCAGCTTTTCACTTTTCACGGGAAAGGGACCGGAGTAGGAGAGTGCGTGTGTGTGTGTGTGTGTCTTTGTCCATGTGAGATGGCTGGAGGTGGGAGGATTGTAAGGACTGATGGGGAGGAGGAAAAAGGGGGCGGGGGGGGGTGTGTGTGTGTGTGTGATTGGGTGTACAGACAGAGATTGTTCTCTCTGGGTGTTAGCTTTCGCTGCAGGAAGTGCACGTTCGGGTCAGGGGGAGATCTGAGCGCGCTCAGTCTGTCCACATCTGTTCAAATACCAGAGACCCTCCAAGTCACACAGGAAACGTGTGCACGTACGTGCGTGTAGATGCCACATAAGCCATTCTTTGTCAAAGCAATTTCTTTATCATAAAAAAGATTTGACCTTTGACCTGCGTTGACCAGGTTCCCACAGTAAATACCAGGAGGGAAACTGGTCGTGTACCTGCTGTAAACAGGTCAGTCTTTCTGAGGCTCCCCCTACTGGCTAAATACTGTTCAGAGTTAGAGGGAAAAATAAGGACTTTTCTAGGAAGTATTCATTTTTTATAAATATATTTTTATTTTATTTGTACTGTGAGTTCTTTCTAATATTTATTTTTCTAATAGAAATGGATTGTTTCCAAGAACATATATGTACATATATTTACACACATATACAGGTTATATCTGTATATAAAAACATATACTTTAAAACATTAGAATATGCTGGGGTTGGGAGGGGGGTCAAAAGGTCACGACAGAAGAAGCTGGTTGTCCTGAGTCTGGAAGGAAAAGAAATAAATTATAAAAACCAAAAGTTTGTCTTTAAAACTGTGTTTTTGAAGTTGAGTCCCAGCTGTGACTGACAGACGTCAACACACTCTGGACGCCCACCGTGCTGCTTTTCCCCCTAGGACAGTGAAGGCATCACTGTCTTATTAAACGGCAACTTCTGACATTCCACTCAAAATAAACAGTCCTTCAGCAGCAGCCGAAAAAACGGGAGAGGGAGGG